TTGCTGGTTCAGCTGATTCAAAAATGCTGCTGCTGCTGCTGCTGCTGCTGCTGCTGCGAGGCAGGGTAGGCCCAAACCGGTGCTGCTGCTGCTGCTGCTGCTGCTGCTGCTGAAAGACAGGACCGATATGGGGCCGCCGCCGCCGCCGCTGCTGCTGTAGCTGCCAGTGCTGCTGCTGCTGCTGCTGCTGCTGCTGTCACTGCTGCTGCTGCGGTGGCGGCGTAGGCCGCCGCGACAGAGCAGCAGCAGCCGTTTCCCTTGAAGACTTTTGGCGAGAGCTGCTGCTGCTGCTGCTGCTGCACCAGAAGCAGCAGCAGCAGCTGCTGCTGCTGCTGCTGCCGCCGGTATTGCCCAGCAGCTGCTGCAGCTCGGCTTGCTGTAGCGGCAGCGAGAGCTGGCTGAGGTGTACGTACAGCTGAAATAGACAAATAAATAAATAAATAAATAAATAAATATTTTTATTATTTATTTTTATGCAAATGCAATAGGCTGCTGTGGCTTGAGGGCCCCCGAGCCACAAGGCCGCCGCTGCTGCATGCAGTTGCTGCTGCATGCTCTGCTGCTGCTGCTGCTGCTGCTGCAGCAGCAGCAGCAAATGAGCAGCTCCAAAGAGACAAAAAACAAACTTTTTTATATAAATCGATGCCAATGAGAAACCAGATGAAGACGGAAGCTACAGACAAGAGAAAACAGCTCACCCAAACCCTAAACCCTAAACCCTAAACCCTAATTTGGAGTATTGCTGTTCGACTTTCGGGTGTCTGTACAACCCACGTCGCCCCTTTTGTCAACTCGAGTTTCTCTCTTTCATTTTCCGCCGTGTCTGTTTGCAGGCATAGCCTTCACCAGGCTAGTTAGCCAGCAAGCTAGCTAGCTAGCCAGCTAGCTAGCTGGCCAGCTAGCTAGCTAGCTAGCCAGCTGGCCAGCTAGCTGGCCAGCTAGTTGGGCTGGCCAGCGACTCAACTAGCTCCCCAGTTTGGCTGGCTGGCTGGCTAACTAGCCAGCTAGCTTGCTAGGTAGCCAACCAGCTAGCTAGCTAGCTGGCTAGCTAGCTAACTAGCTAGCTAGCTGAGTGCTCAGCTAGCTTCCCAGTTAGGATGGCTAGCTAGCCGGCTAGCTAGCCAACTAGCTAGCTAGCTAGCTGAGTGCCCAGCCAGCTAGCCAGCCCCACAGCTAGCTACGTGGCCACCCGGACACGCAAATCCAGCTAGCCAGATAGAAAGTTATCCAGCTAGCTAGCTAGTTAGAACGCTAGCGAGCTAGCTAGCTAGCCAGCTATCAGCTGGCTGACTAGCTAGCTAGCCAGCTAGCTGTTGATCCGGCACAGCGAAGCTGGATACTCGCCTGCCCAGCTAGCCAGTTGGCTAGCTACCTGGCTAGCCAGCCAACTAACTGCTTCGCTAGCTAGGTAGCTAACTAGCTATTTAGCTAGCTAGCCAGCTAGCTAGCTAACCAACTTGCTAACTCACCACTTAGGTGGCTAGCTAGCTGGCTAGATAACTAACTCCTTCGCTAGATAGCTAGCTAGCTAAGTAACTAACTAACTATTTAGCTAGCTAGCTAGCTAGCTAGCTAGCTAGCCAAGCTGTGTCATGCCACCCGGCCAAAACGCCGAAGGCAAATGTGATAATAAATAAAAAACAAATAAATAAAAAATAAATAATAATAAATAATAAATAAGTAATAAATAAATAATAAATAAATAAATTGATAAATTCAGAAACGAATAAAAAGTAAAGAAAGAAATAAAGGCCGGAGAGGAAAGCCTCTTGTTTTTCTTTTGTTAATTTGCATTTTATTTTTGCCACAATTTACCACTTAAGTTCCAATTAATAATAAATCCTTTATTTATTTATTTTTATTTATTTATTATTTCATTTTATTTTTTAATTACTTTTATTTCTTTTTATTTATTTCCCTTTTCTTTCCCTCTTGACTCCTTTCGCTCAGCTGCCTTTTATTGCTGCCTGCAAAACAAAACAAACAAATATAAATAAATAAATAAATAAATAAATAAATAAATAAATAAATAAATAAATAAATAAATAAATAAATAAATAATAAACGATTAAATAAATAAATAATAAAATTAAAAAAATTCAGTTCTGGAAAAACCCGAAAAGCAACGAGGAAAAAATGGGGTGTACAGACACCTCACTCCCGCAGCCTCGCTCTCCATTTCTTCTCTTTTACTCTTATTTTGATTCTCATTTAATTATTATTTATTTATTTATTTATTATTTATTTAATTATTTATTTATTTATTAATTATTTATTTATTATTTATTTATTTATTTATTTATTTATTATTTATTTATTTGTTTGTTTGTTTGTTTGTTTGTTACCTTTTGAGCTACGATTCTGGGGCCCGCTTCTTCCCACTCTGCCTTCGTTATCCAAAGGTGGTCCTAAAAGCAAATAAATAAATAAATAAATAAATAAATAAATAAATAAATAAATAAATAAATAATAGATGAATAAATAAATATATAAAGAAATATTAAATAAATAGATAATAAGTAAATAAGTTCAATTAATTAATTAATTAGTGACAGCCCCAGGAGACGAACAAACAAATGGAGCAGAGAAATAAACAAACTGGAATTTACAAAAAAGACAAATCAAAAAATAAAATTAAAAAATTAAAAAAATAAAATAATAAATAAAGTCAAAACAGAAAGTCGAAAACGGGAGGAAAATTGAAAAACAAATAAAAAATAAAAACAAATTAAAAACAGATAAAAAACGGAATTTAAGAAAGCAAAATAAGGACAAAATAAAAACAAAAATAAAATAAAATAAAATAAAGACAAATAGAAACAAAACAAAAACAATTAAAAGCAACTAAAAGCAAAATAAAAGCAAATAAAAACAAATTAAGAACACATTAAATAAAAACAAAAAACAGACGAAAACGAAATAAAAATAAATAAAAACAATTAAAAGCAAATTAAAACCAAAATGGAAACAAACGAAACAAAACAAAAACAAGTAAAGAACAAAACAAAACCGAACCAAACCAAGCAAAACGAAACAAAACAAAATAAAATAAAGAACAAAACAGAATAAAATAAGAACAAAATAGAATAAAATAAATAAAACAAAATAAAATAAGGACAACACAAAATAAAACAAAACAAAATAAAACAAAATAAAACAAAATAAAATAAAATAAAATAAAAAATAAAATAAAAAAACAAAAATCAGCAAAAGCTCCAAAAGCACCAAAACGCGTCGCGCGCGAATGACCGCCGCGCGTCCAAACGCGCAGCGAAAACCAAAAAACCAAAAAAACAAATTAATTAATTATTATTATTATTATTTATTTATTTATTTATTTATTATTTATTATTTATTTATTTATTTATTTATTTATTTATTTATTTATTTATTTATTATTACTTGAAGAGGCCTCAGGGCCGCGTCGCAAAAGCACTTCGCGCCGAGCCAAACGAGGAACTGGCGCTGCGGGGGGGCCTCGACTTTGACGAATTCGCGGGCCTGGGGGGGCGAAGTGTTTTGGAGTTCGAGTTCGAGTCTGGGCAATTTGGGGTCAAAAAAAGAGCTTTTGGACTCAAATAAACTCCAAATTCAAACTCCCCGCAATTTACTTTCCATAGTGCAAAAAAAAACAAAGTTTTGCACTTCTTTTCCGCCAAAAACGAGAAAAAACAACAACTCCGGACCCAAAGCAGTGGACCACTGGTCCGCACTTAATGTTTATTATTTGTTGTGCATTTGTCTTCTTTTCTTTCTTTCTTTTATTTGTTTTGTTTGTTTTTTCATTTATTTCATTTATTTATTTATTTATTTCTTTTTAATTTCGCTTTTCTGCATTTGGAGATGTTCGTTTTTCTGTTTTTGTTTTTTTCTGCTTTTGAAATTCAGGTGTCCAGACACCCGGTGGCTCTTCGCTTTTGTTTTATTTATTTTCATTTTCTTTAAATTCATTTAAAGTTCCACTTCCGATTTAATTATTTTAATTCATTTTAAACGCATTTTAAAGTTCCACTTATTATTAATTTAAATAACGCCCAAACGAACTGCGAGCAAGCTTGCTGCAGCCGCGCGCCTCTAGGGTCTGCGGGCTAGGGTTTAGGGTTTAGGGTTTAGGGTTTAGGGTTTACCGCTCTGGGAATCCGGGGAACATAGTAGAACCGCCACACAGAATGACATTCGCCACAAGGCTCTTGCGGCTTTCTATCGGGCAGGCCTGCAGCAGCAGCAGCAGCAGCAGCAGCAGCAGCAAAAGGATCAACAGCAGCAGCAACAGCAGCAGCAAACGAATCAACAGCAGTAGCAGCAGCAGAAGAAGCAGCAGCAGCAGCAGCAGCAATTTGAGGCGCGGCCCGCTGCCTCCAGAGCAACGAGCGCGGGCCTCTGCTGCGCCTCCAACTCCCCGCCCTAGGGCCTAGGGTTTAGGGTTTAGGGTTTAGGGTTTAGGGTTTAGGGTTTAGGGTTTACTTTGACGGAAGACCACAACAAGTCCGTCAGCGAGGGATTGTCGCGGCCGCAGAGCTGCGGGTTAAAGAGAGCCTCAGCAGGGTAGAAGCGCTCGGGGCCCAAAACGATTTCCCTAATTAAATAAATAAATAAATAAATAAATAAATAAATAAATAAATAAATAAATAAATAATAAATGAATAAATAAATAAATAAATAATAAATATATTGAGGGGAATGGGCCAATTGGTGCGCCAGCAGCAGAAAAAGCGGCTCAAAAGCGAAGAAATGAACCCACAAAACACCCAGTAGGGTTTAGGGTTTAGGGTTTAGGGTTTAGGGTTTAGGGTTTAGGCACGTGGTTTCGCCGTCTCTGAGAGTTAGGCCGTCGGGGAGGCGGTAGGTTCTTTCCAAGTCTGTCCTTTGCTGATCAGCTGTACACACAACCCAGAAAATCAGGGTTTAGGGTTTAGGGTTTAGGGTTTAGGGTTTAGGGTTTAGCGTTTAGGGCTACGGACGTCGAGCTCAAAAACTAGCAAATGCGGCTTACACTTGAG